AGATTGAACGATCAATTCTTGGTTGTTTGCTCAAAATCAACTTCCCCGATTTTCGTGGAGGCATCAATACGACAGTCATCGTCTCATCGGTCGCTGTTCAGAAAGAAGAGTGAAACATCGTCAGAAGTAATATAACGATTTATTATTGTAATATTTGTTTACAGACCTTAGTGGCGAAGTTAAACTTTCGACACCACTAACTACCAATCAGCGAATTATCCAATGAGATTCACGAACGATGTCGAATTATCCAATGAGGTTCACGAGCGCAGTTCAATGTTTTATAGCGCTTGATTCATTTCTAATGCGTGACCTTACAAAGCTACTGTTGCGATTCGAGGAGGTTAGCGTTTTCCAGTATTTCCTGGATTTGAGTTGCTCCGGAAAGAGCGAATTGGTTTGTGTGGTGGTATCACGACTTTAAAAAGCTATACCAAATCAACTGATGGGTTTGTTCATCGTTGTGCTATATGTTTGAAGCCTACTAACGCTAGAGAGAGTAAGCTGATAATTTTAATATTTCGTAGGAAGTTTTTTCGCTAGGTCGCTTCTCTCCCTAAGGATAGCAGATAGAAAAGCAACTACTCTTATACCTATTATTACCAGACTTGTTAAGCGGGGGTCAATTATACACACCGACGAGTGGAAAGGCTAGAATTCACTGTCATCTCTGGGATATATTCATCATAGAGTCAACCATCCAAGTGATTTTGTGGATCCCGTTACGAGGACACATACAAATTCTATTGAAGGATTTTGGGACAGGTTGAAAAATAGGATAAGGGCTATAAATGGATCTCATTTATGGTCATTTGGATGAATATTTGTACAGGATATGGTGTAATTTCTCCATTGACAGTCCCATGCTAAACTGGGAGATTTTTCTCTCACATGTTCGAGAAAGATATCCCATGTAACTTTTTAATTCTCTATTTTATGCTTTTTTCTACAAGTATACATTTCCATTCATCATATATGCCTCTTTAATGTGACTGGTCCGTTCAAGGTCGTTCGCTGATTGGTTGTTAGTGGTGTCTAAAGTTTAACTTTGCCACCTTAGTTTACTTATTCCTTTTATATGTTGGTGTAACAATACAGAAATATCAAACGGCAGATCGGTGTTTTGGTTTTTTCGTCCGTTATAACTAAGCGTTTCTGAAAACTCAAAGGAACAGCGTGGGCCCGAGCGTAGCGAGAGCTGGGCATTAACGGTTTATGAGACGTGATTGACAGACAGTGTCTCCCCATGATTCTCCCATGGTTGATAATATTCATGTATGGTAAACATGATTCACCTTAGTACGAAGCAGTCAGACTTCCAGGCGGGCTATAATTAGGGAAGTTAATGGTTTGTCGATTCCTGGCCTTTCAGAAAATTTCAGGACACATTGTGGATTTCCGGGGAAAGTTACACTGTCCGCCTTATTGTTCATTTTGTCTCAGACGTTCAAGTTACAACCAATGGCGATTAGTTCTCCCTTTAGGCCCCTAACAACACAATTTCCTTGGCTAGCACTTTTCCATTAACCACCAACCAGCACAGATTATTTCTAGAATGACATGGTATATCCATCTGTCCTATCGGGCTTTTGCAGTGGACCATTCCATATGGCTGGGTATGTGGTACAGTCCGATCATATGCTTCACAGCATCCACTTGTACCATGATCTTGAGAAGGCGCTTCCTGCTTCTATCCAGTCACTCTTTGTCTGTGGCCTTTAGTTATTATAGAGACCAGTTCGTTGAAGCATCCCCTGATAATGTCCTTCATTGGTTCTCGGTGTCCATCAACCTTTGGAATGCAGGGTTCCTTGGATCGAAGCAGTTCCCATAGCTTTCTCATCTGCTAAATTTGGGCTCTGAGACAGTAGCGTTAAAAAGGGAAGTGACACCTCTTCCTAGTGAGCGACGGAACATTAAAGAAGCCAGTGGTCATGGCACGGTAAAATCCCACGATCGGAACAGAAGAGATTACTTCAATCGAATGCTGCCAATCACGTCTCATAAACCGTCAATGCCCAGCTCTTGCTACGCTCGGGCCCACGCTGTTCCTTGCAGTTTTTCAGAAATGCTTAATAGTAACGGACGCGAAAACCAAAACACCGATTGGCCGCTTGGGAATTCTTTATTGTAACACCAACATATAAAAAATATTTCTATTAAGGTCTGTGAACAAATATTACAATAATAAATCACGAGATTACTTCTGATGGTTTGCTACTGACTTCTTTCTGAACAGCGACCGATGAGACGATGACTGTCGTATTGATGCCTCCACGAAAATCGGGGAAGTTGATTTTGAGCAAACAACTATGAATTGATCGTTCAATCTTCAACAACATTGACATCTGTATTCTGTCATCAACCAATAAGAAGGATCTACCTTTGAAGTTTGGAATTGGTTAGGGGTAATGTCTCCTCAAGATTATCTGAGTTAGACGGTATACTGCGTATTTCTTTGGCAGTCAGCAAAGTACTCTGGGCTTCTAGGAAAGAGTCCTCCAAAATAAACAAACATTCATTCTGAGTTTCGCAGAGTTACGGCAATCAAAACGGTGGATTCTCAGTATTGAAATTTGTCACAGTACTGGGAATGCCCAAAAACAACATGAAGCCAAAAGAAAAATAGAAAAAAAATGAATAAGCATATCACAGAAATATTGGATACTGAAGGTCATTTTCGCTTTCAAGGTTGCCCAAAGTTTGCGTTTGAAGTGTGTTGTAAGCTTTCACCTTCGCTTTAATGAACAAATAAAATGTTCTGGACTAAGGTTTTTGACATCTTAAACGACAACTAGGTGATATTAGGGGATTAGAAGTATCTTTACTCATTATTTTCTTACATTATATGTAAAAGCGTGAACAAAAGGACTATTAATACTCCTGTTTGACTGTTCCCGATTCGACAAAAATGGGAAAAATCGTGTTCAAAATGGGGAAAAAATGGGGAAATAGTGCCCCACTTTTTCCCCTTTTATCTTGCCTTTTCCCCATATCGTAAAGTCAGGTTGTCCCCATAATTCGCAGAATTTTCCCCCTTTTTAACGCATATTTTACCGTTAATCCGGTGAACTTCCCGCCTTTACTCATTCACTTTTGCAGTTGCGATAGACTGATGGGATCATTCAAGAGTAGATATTGCTTCATTGGAAATTTTTCTACTAACTCACCATTAAGAATAACGCAAAGAAGAGTTGGAATACCCGAAAACATCTAGATCAGCTTTCAAAGAGTAACTGGACCTCTGCAGAGATACATTTTGCAACGATTAACACAGGCCACAAGAGCCTTCTATCCCTATTATGTGAATCTGAATCTGTACCAAAATGGTCATTAAGACTCCATTGTGGAGATCTTAATTTTCAGACTTTATCACCTAGACATATAACTGGACCTTCCCACCTTTGATCGCTTAATATAGATACATCACTAATTATCAGCGACTAGGATACTTCTTGGCTTATTTCAGTACTTTTGGTGTATAAAGTACGACATCTACATTGGAATTGTGTAACTATGAATGCTATATTCTGTTTTTAAAAGTTCTCTCTTGACGCTCATAGAGAAGTTGATGTTAGCGATGAAGTTGAAAGCATTCTGATTGACGTAGATGCATGACTGTGTACCTTTAGCCTAACAGTTCAACTTAAACAATTAATCTGTTGTGGATTAAAAATGCCACAGGCTAATTTTGGTGAAATTACTTACGGTTGCTACAGTATTCTTGTACGATTCAAAAACAACTTTTTTACATGTTATATGTAATGAGTTTTGTCTTACCATCATTTTCTTCTTCACATTATTTCGAGTGATAAGCTGCGGATGTTCAGTGGCCCCACCGATAGCTGCTACGATAGCCGATGTGGTGATCAGCTTCGCATACCACAATAACCCAACGAATTGCACTAGGTGGAACTAATGTTCCTGGAGGTCCTACCATTCCAGAAACGTCGTTTGGATAGCGATTAAACTGAAAGTAGATACTGTCATAGTGTAAGTTTTTTATATTATGCTGACAGACTGTTGGAGCTGTACTGTCTGTCTGTCTGTCTGGATTCAACATAGAACTTGGCACCGAAGTGCAGCAGTTCGAGTTGCCACGTTCCAAATAGCACACAGAGGTAGACAAGAAGATGAGTGGAGAGAATTAATAGAGTTTGACAAATATAGGAGTGAAACAGAATGGGTAATGGTAGAAAGGAATATGAAAGATTACAGAGACTGAATACATCTGCGCTGGCCATTGACAACGATTTTGAGCCATGTCACCTATTGTCTCCAGCCATTGATTCCTAGAGTCCCGAGGGTCCCAACCCGGGAGTCTGCATCTCCCTACCTGACTCAGTTTAACTGTCAAGGATTTCATGGATTGATGCCATGTTTTTGTTTGGCCACCACTGGCTCTTTTCCAACCTGAACCTATATCAGCTAACAATGCCCGTCGGGGGAGGCGGTGTATAACCACCTTGAGGTGTTCACCTCAAATGACCAGCAAGCCAGCTGTTGTGACTCTCCGCTCTAGAAAGGTGGTTAAAAAAGTTTGACCCAAAAAATTGTCCATCTAGACTTACCTTGTTGTGGTCCGTAGACGATATTAAGATCTTTATACGGGCAGCCATTAATGCCACTTCAAACATGCACTTTGTAATGGGCTGTGTGGTCACACAACACTAATGCACCTTCTGTTTCAAGTGCCTCAAGAGGAAGTAATGATCACCCACACGATTCGATAGGCTTACAGGCTTTCTAGTCAGGATGTTTTATATAGTAACGTGCGAATCTTTGAAAGATAGTTTCTTTGCTATCTAGTTTCAGTATAACGTTTTGGGAGCTCTTAATATTCAGCTGTTTTTTTAAATAAAGGAATTGACACTAATAATGTACTCTCAATTAACAGTTTTCATCTGAATGTGCATCACTTTACACTTTTCAGAGTATATGGCAGTCTAAATATTGTTTTTTGAACTATGTGAACGAAGAGTACTTGTTTCCTACAACTAATGGGACGGAGAAAAATAGAAGTTCGAAAAATTGAAGACAAAAACAAGTGTGTGGTAAGCATCAATTTTTTTTGATGCTAGTTATATTCCACTCTGTTAATTTTTGTTGTTTAGGCCACTTTTCGTAAACGTCGAGATGGTCTTTTTAAGAAAGCACTTGAACTACATCGTCTTACTGGTGCTGAAATTATGCTTACATTAGTATATAATAAGTCAAAGTATTGTTTCAATTCTCATGGGAATTCAGAACAAGGCAGCAGCAACAGCAACAGTGGCAGCAATAACAATAACAGCAGCAGCAGTGGAAGTAATAGCAATGTGCCTAACACTTTCCATTATACTAAACATTTTCAATTTAAGGTTAGTTGTGTTGAATAACTTTGAAAGCGGTTTGTTTGTTTGTTTAATTGTCTGTCTATCCGTCTGTCTTTGCACCGATGTGCGGCAATTCAAGTCGCCACACTCTCTCCATGTACCACACAAAGCAACACAAGAAAGTAGAAGAAATTCATAATGGAGACAGCAAACAGAGGTGTGAGACAAAGGAATAGTAATAACGAAGAACAAAACAGTTTCATTGGAAATCACAAGTCGCAAGGAGAGGATGCATCTGCACCAGCCAGCCATCGAGAACGATTTTGAGCCATATCACCAATTGTTTCCAGCCTACATTGGTTTTTACCGTCTCGAGGACCTCAACCAGTCAGGAAGTCTACACCTTCCTACGTGACTGGCTTAAACTAACTGTTGTAGATTTCACTGACTGATTCCATGTTTTGGTTTGACCACCAGTAACTAACTCTTTTCCCCATGACCCTATGTCAGCTAACATTGCCCATTGTCGGCGAAGGCGATGACTAGGCGGGTATGCGTAACACATATCCTAATCATCTCAGTCGATGTAATTTCACAGCCTCGTCGATTGATTTCCCCTCATTGACTTACCTAGCACTCGACCGCAGCCTAACCTCAATATTGCTCACCTTATTATACCACTTCACAGGGGAGATGGAACGCAGGAACCTTTGATCAAAGACAGCTAGCTGGCCTTTCCATGTCTTCCACTCTCAATGGCCATGTCTCGTTCACAGCCATAAAGAGGACGTAGCGGACTGATGAGCAGTACACCCGCCCTTCGGTCGATAGCCAGCCAGATATTACGTCTACGCCAGAGACGGCGTGCTGAGATTTCATCAGAGATCAACCCTTTGGAGTTGGCTGATGTTACTTCCCAAATAAGTGAAGCGGTCAACGTGCTTCTCTACCACTTCACTGTCTATTTCTAAACTGAGAGTCAATGTAGTCCAGTCAGTCCTGTAACATCATCTTACATTTGGCAGGAGCAAATCGCATTCCAAACATTCGTAGATTGCAGCTCAAGGTATTCAGAAGACTCGGCTATTTTGTCAGCGTCCTCACCTAGAAGCACTAAGTCATCTGCATGTTCTAAGTCAACGAGATTGTTTACTTTTAACATTCATAGTGTTATCACTGTATAGTTGACAAGTTAAGACCAATATGTCATTCCTATGATTTATTAAAATGATGAATATCCCATACTGCTTTCATATTAGTTTGTTTATTAGATGTATCAAATAGTGATGAAACAGTATTATTTACTGGATGACGTTTCGAACAAAATTTATTGCTGTTCATAATCACATCAATTGTAATCACATGACTTCGAAACTTGAGTTTTATAGTTTTCTTTGTCTTCTCCTATTTGTCGTCGTAGGGGTAGTAGAATTCTCCAGATATCTGGATGGACAGGTGTTGAATCATTCATGTTACATGTATTTGCAGGTGATTCGATAGATAAAGCTTGTTTCTAATTGAGTTTGTGGTTGGTTTGAATGCCAGGCACTTTTATTCCTGCCTTGTTAAGAATTCTGCGCAAGGTTTCCAAGGAGTAAGGCAGGAATAAAAGTGGCTGGCATTCAAACCAACCACAAACTCAATTAGAAACAAGCTTTGTCGGTTAAAGGATCAATCCTGTGGAGCCTTTAAAACAAAACAATTTAGTTTATCTAATACCCTGCCTGCAATGATTGTCAGGTCAAATACATAGGTCAGAGTAGTAGAACAGGGGCAGTCAGACAGTGTAGCCGAACATAAAAGCCTACCAGGATCTAGATCGGTTGACCCAAATAAGATAAGAAATCTAGAGAATAGTTCAGCCATAGCATTGCATGGAGTTACACACACACATACAGTATAGCATGGGATAGGATGGCAGTTTCAAAATCTAATGTCACAGGGTGGAGGGATAGATGGATAAAAGAAGCTTTGTTTATCGAATCAACTGCAAACACGTTCTATATGAATGATTCAACACCTGTCCAGACGGATATCTGAAAAATTCTACTCCCCCAACGACGACAAATAGGAGAGAATAAAGAAAACTATAAAACTCAAGTTTCTAAGTGATGTGATTATAATTGACATGATTATGAACAATAAATTTTGTTCGAAACTGTGTCATTCAGTAAATAATACTGTTTCACTGACTGTGTGATACATCTAATAAACAAACTTATATGGAATTACTTACTACCACAGTGCCGAAGATTTACACATATATAATAATGTCATACTGCTGTTTTATTTATTTGCTAATCCTAGTAACTGTTAATTGTCTACTGACGGGTTAAAAGAAAAATTGCAGCTAAAAACACCTTAATCTTTATTTTCTGTATATCAATATACTGAATAAATGTTACGGTATGTCTAATGTTACACTAATTCGAAGGTCTACAGGCAAAAAAGCCAACAAGATGGTAGGAGAGGTGACAGAGGTGATACAGAGCTTCAAGTGGACATTGAGAATAGAGTGGTGTGGTCCCACTGATGATATTGGTTGGTGCCAGTCTCGCTAAAATCACGAATTGGTAGAAGTTAGAATTTATGGGTTAGCCGTTGAATGGAGTCCCAGGGGACTGAATGGCATGCCAGCTAGTTTGCCTTGTAACCGGAAGGTTCTGGGTTCAAACCCTGGCCATGGGTGCGTACTGCCGATGGTTCATAAACTAGAATGAAACAGCTTGCTGTACAGTACTCCTGTCTGGCTTTCAGTGGTTGTCTACCTGATATATATATCTTGCGATAACATATCAATGAGAGATGTTTGATGTAGTTCAAAATGATATCGAATGATTATTTCCATTGGTTGGCATTGTCCTCAGGGGAAATAAAAATTTGGCTACTTTTTTATGTCTGATATTTTGGCAAAGCAATCTCCCGGTACTTTTCTCCACTTTCTTTGCCACGCCATTTACTTTGGAAAAAATTTTTTAAAAAAAACAGTTGATTTCTTTTTAAACCCCATTACTAAATTTATATTACTAGGTGATATTTAGGCAAAATATCCATTAGTGAGTAGGCTGTTTTTTCAATAACAACAACAAAAACAAAGAGAGAAATATAAACGCCACTAATTTATATGCATGTAGAAGATTTCTAATTTAATCAGACAGATTGCTGTCTACACGACTTTGTGTGTGTGTGTGTGTGTGACTAACTTCACTAGGACTATAAATTATTATTGTCATTATGAAGGAATTGTTGGTGTACAATATTTACATTTCACGTTCTTGTGTAAACAGTTGAATATCTGATTAGATGAAATAAGCATTGCTAGAAAGCAGACAAAATGCCAGTTTGTAAGTCATGACTCTTTTTCATTTTATCACTCACTAAGGGTATAGTATGATATTCAATCTTTAAACTTTCGTAAAAACCGGCTTATTTTTCACATTAAATTGGTGAAGGCTTACCGCGAGTTGTCATCTGAAGTGGTGACAACTAGTGGTGTCCGTCAGCGAGGGATGCCCATTATCCCCATTTCTATTCAGTTTCATCATAGATGTACTTACTGATGGACTTAATCCTAACTCACTTCAGAGACTCAGGGATTGACTTGCTACCATCAGGGATTAATCTCGTTGACTTAGAATATGCAGACGATATAGTCCTTCTAGGTGAGGACGCTGACAAAATGCAGTCTTCTAAACGCCTTGAGTTGCGATCTGTAAATATTTGGTATGTGATTCGCTCCCGCCAAATGTAAGATGATGTTACAGGACTGACTGGACTACATTGACTCTCAGTTTAGAAATAGACAGTGAAGTGGTAGAGGAGCACGTTGACCGCTTCACTTATTTGGGAAGTAACATCAGCCAACTCCAAAGGGTTGATCTCTGATGAAATCTCAGCACAGATACAGAGGGCTGGTTTCGCATATGCCAGCCAGTTTACGCCGTCTCTCTGGAGTAGACGTGATATCCGGCTGGCTATCGACCAAAGGTGGGTGTACTGCTCATCAGTCCGCTCCGTCCTCCTTTATGGCTGTGGGCGAGACATGGCCATTGTGAGTGGAAGACATGAAAAGCCTGGCTAGTTGTGTTCGATCAAAGGTACCTGAGCTCTATCTCCCGTGTGAAGTGGTATAGTAAGGTGAGCAATATTGAGGTTAGGCGTGGAGTACTAGGTAAGGAGGCGAAATTAATCGACGAGGCTGTGAAATTACATCGACTGAGATGATTAGGACATGTGTTACGCATGCCTAATCATCTTCTTCCTTGACCAATGGGCAATGTTAGCTGACTGACATAGGGTCAGGCTGGAAAACAGCTAGCCAGCGGCGGTCAAACCAAAACACGGCCTCATCAGTCAATGAAGTCCACAACAGTTAGTTTAAGCCAGTCACGTAGGAAGGTGTAGGCTTCCTGACTGGTTGAGGTCCTCGAGACGGTAAAAACCAATGTAGGCTGGAAACAATTGGTGATATGGCTCAAAATCGTTCTCGATGGCTGGCTGGTGCAGATGCATCCACTCCTTGTGACTTATGATTTCCAATGAAACTATATTGATCTTTGTTATTACTATTCGTTTGTCTCACACCTCTGTTTACTGTCTCCATTATGAATTTCTTCTACTTTCTTGTGTTGCTTTGTGTGCTACAAGGAGGGAGTGTGGCGACTTGAATTGCCGCACATCGGTGCAAATTTCTATATCGAAAACAGACAGACAGAATAAATTGATCTGTTTTGTGCCTTATTTTACTGTTTGCATGAGGCTGTTGTTGTTATGACTACATAACTGTATTTAATCCTTTGTTCTTTATTATTATTATTATTATGAATATTATTCCTTTGGGCTCCGAGTGGAACCCAGTGTGGGCTTCAGATAGTTCTGTTGTTCTTTTTACGGAAAAGTTCAACAAGAGAGTCAGTCATAAGGTGTACGAATGCACGAGTATCCTTGAGCCGATAAATCATAAAAAATAAGGGATTTTTGCATGAAAACTGACGTATATTTACAAGAAAAAGCATGAAAACACATTCCACAGGGCATCTTTCTTT